GGGGCTGATGCTTCTTATAGTGCTGAGGGTGTTGAGGAAGTTGTTTAAGGCCTTGGGCTTATTATGCAGCATGCAGCTACAATTGTTGTTAAGGAAACGTATGGGGCACGACCTGCTGATGCTGATAAGAGATGAGTGGATGGACAAGTTACTACGTTTGGGGAGGCAAAGCCTGCTGAGCCTAGGCTGAAGCCATTTTGAGCAGCTTGGGGAGGCACAACAGCAAGCATGGCCTAAGTCATGGGTTCCACACGAGTTTGATTCTTAAATTGTAGAAGTTGGGACCAAAGATCAAGGAATTCGAGCAAGGTAAGAGAATGAATTATGGTGGTGACAAACATCGAGTAATCAGGGCCAAGGTCTTTGAGAACAAAACTCACCAAATCAGTATTAGAGACATGTTAATTAATAGCAGCAAGAGAGTCAGAGATAAACTTAGCCTGTTGAAGATAGTCCGAGAAGGAATTAAAACCCTTCATAAGTGACATAAGCTGAAGGAAGAGTAACGGAATGTGCCTGAATTATACCATCCACAAAGCTAAATGAATTATAACCTAAAAGAAATGGCTTCATCTAACTAATCCAGATAAGGTAGTTGGAATCAGTAAGTTTAAGAAAGTGAGAAATGTTAGGACCGGAAAGAGAGGGTCCAGAGGTGGTAGATGAATGTTAAGTACTAGGTTTCTTGTTTGGCTTCCCTTGTCAAAATTTGTAAATGCTACTGTTGAAGTTCCTTTCGAGTGTCAATATAAGGATAGTATCGCGGCACAAGTAAAGGTCTCGAACCACAAAAACTGAGAAGCAACTTAGTAAAACCTTTGATTCTTACAAATTAGCATTGGTTGAAGACTTCTATGACTTAAAATGACGAGTTTGAGTAATTTTGGAAAAGAAATAAAGACAGAAAGAAAAGGGATAAATTAGAAGTATCTAAAAACAAACCTAAGACATGTAGTAGGTTAGAAATGTTTTTAGGACATAAATCTAACTTCAAATGAACACAGGTCTTCCCCTAAACATTCATGAATCAGTAATGATCTTTTAGCTTATCTCTTTCAAATGCACAACTAAGATGTTCACATATCTAGTATGGCATATAACTAGATTGTATGAATCATCTCTTACTTTGCATGTTAGATGCATGACATATACATAAAACTTATATTTGTAGGTGCAACCTAGTATGGCATATACTCAGATTTAGCACCTAGAAACTCATTAAGAATGAAGAGGATTATGAACATCACATGAACCCTAGAACATGGCATTTATCCTAGAACTTCATGGAGTCAATTTACATGATTAGTTTTGAACCTAACCACTTGTTGCTAATGAATGAAAGAAGATATGGCAGTCATCCTTATCATTCTCAATAGAAAGAAAACATAAACAAGGTAGTTATGCTGGAAAATATATGCTTGAAATGATTGAAACAGAAAACTGATTCTAGCTTGCGAATGAAATTGATAAACTAAAATTGCATCATAACATTAATTCAATCATGTCTAGGGCTTCAAAGCAGCCTTAAGTATCCGTAAAAAAAAAATACATAAAAAGTCAGAAAAGCTAGAACCTAGAAATTACTCAAGGCCGAAGACTCTTGCTCTCCTTTAGATTCTCCTCCTTCTGTTGAGTATTTATCTCCTATTAAAAGGCTTAGAACTTATCTAACATCTGACACATTTACATCCTTGAATTGACTTTCATTTATAGCTCATAACAACCAACTTTTAGTATTGGAGTAACTGAAAACTAGCTGTTATCAGAATTTGTAACTAAATAGCTCCTCTTTATTCTGTTATATCTTCTTGTCGAAACCTCCAAATCACAAGCTGTAAAGACCATTAGAAAGAAGACTTCCAGGGCTTTCTAACCATATATGGTCCATTTTCTAATTCGTTCTGAGCACTTCAGGGCAAAGCTCGCAAGTTGGCAATTCTGCAAGGGCCTTTTATGGCGGATCTTGGGCCACTTGTTACAATATTCAAAATAAGATGATTTCTTCAAGCCCTTACTTTCATCCTGAAGTACAATACAAACAACAAAATACCTTGTGATGCATAAAGATTTTAAGTCAAAAACCTAAGTAAAAGAGGGCATATAAATATAACTTTAATTATGCACTCAACATACCACACATGCTCATAATTTAGAGTTAGGGTACAATGTTGATTTGGATTTCTACTGGAATTGAACTTGTCAAAACACCAGCCTTCTACACTACAAAAGGTTTGAATCATACATTTGCATTTGCATATCAAGCTTATTTGTCTAGATTCCTTTTGTTTAGTGCAGTTGTCTAGTTAGAAATTTTGCCTGTTGTCCAGCTGTCTAGGCATGCAAATTAAGAAAGCCCACATAGGCCAACTGACACATTTTCCCGTGTATGGATCTCTCACCCTTGATCTGGAAAGGTCTCTTTAGCTTGTGACACGTGTCTCTTATTCCCCTTGTCTGAAACATTCATCTCTCCCATTAAAAGGGTTCTCAAGGATTCATTTGTTCATTGGTTAGGATTTTCAGATTTTCAGAAAAAAGAGTGCATTTAGCCTAGAGCTACCTCTTAAGCTTCTAAACCGAAACCCTAGCCACACAACCATCTCATGCACAAACACCCAATCATTGCATATTAGGGTTGCATTGTTTTAATGGTTTTGCATTAAGTTTTTGGTTTAAACCTAAGTTTTTCATATCCTTCATAGACCAATCTCTCAGATTCATGTTAGGTTATTCTTCAACTGTTTGACTGAAGAACCTAACTGGTCAATTAAATCCAAATATGTTGTGCATATCATAAAATCATATCATATCATTGATCGTGTTGATCCCAGTGCCACAAGGTGATGAGCTTAGGAGGAGCTGCTACTTCATGAAGACCAAAGGTGTCTGTCTCGTGTAAGGCATAGTTGCACAAAGGTAAAGCTGCTCCTTAGATAGGGTTCCAAAAATTGAACTTTGTGTGGATCTTTGTATGAACCTTTGTTTACACTAGTGGATTAGACTTAGTGAAAGTCCCTGGTTTTTAACCAAAGGTGGGTTTTTCCAACCAAAAACTTCCTTGTGTTCATTACTTTGCAAAGCCTTGTTTATAACTTTGTTGGAATTAAATATTATAGGGTTTGCTAGTATTGACACTTTATTAATCAAGTGAACTTAACTTAAGTACTAAGACTTAAACTTAACTGAACTTCACTTTGTTATGTTTTAACCTTTTAAATTTGTTTGATTTATATGCTTGTGGGATTCTAACAATCTATACTCAGTTGACTAGTACATTTGGCTAGTCAGTATAGTTGCTTCTAAGTTTTTATTGTAGGGTATTCCACCTGGTACCAATTTCAATGAAGAAGAGGGTTGAGTGGCCGTTGGTGAATTACGGGGAATAAGCACGACAATGATGAAGAAGAATGATTAGAGGGGACGACTTAGGTGTGGAAAAAGGAAAAGGTTTGGCTAGGAAGGGGAAACCTTAACACACCCCACTCCCTTGTCTCATGCCCCAACGCAGCGGGTAGAAATCAGTCTTCTCAAGGTAGTTTACTCAGGCACCGAGAACACCTTGTTGTTGGTTAGGATGAAAAGCCTATTGATTTGATTTACTTAAAGGAGTTATAATTCAACTGGTCTTTAGCTATTTGACTTATACTCTTTCCGAACCTATTTTGTCACTTAGTATTGGCAAAACCACTTCAGGCGTTTTGGGAGTGTCTTTATGCACACTTTTCTTATGCTTCCCTTGCCAATGCCACCAATCTCCATTTTCAACTCCTGGCACTTATAAAGGGCTCCCGTTCCATCTCGGAATATTTTCAACAGGCTAAGTTTATTGCCGACTCTCTTGCTACTATTAATTAACCTATCTCTAATACTAATTTGGTGAGTTCTGTTCTCAAAGGCATTAGTCCTGACTACTTGATGTTTTGACCCTCATAATTAATTCTCTTCTCTTGCCAGAATTCCTCAACCTTTGATCTCATTTCTTGCAATTTGAGTTCCAAACCCATGTTGACCCTGCTGTCCATGTTATGTTTGGTGCCATTCCAAGTGGATTGGCTCCTGTGCAGGCCCAACTACAGCCACTGGCCTAATTTCCATAACCAGCCGTGGCCCACAACCAACATATTGGCCTGCCTCAGAACCTACAACAGCTACTACCACATCAGGTTTCCCACTGTAGCAGCAACCTGTTTCGTACCAGGCCCAAGGCCGAGCATCGCATCCCTTTTCCCAACCTGCATAGCAGCCCAGCGCAGAAGAAATAACAACAGGCCTCCTCCATGTTGTAGTCCTTCCAACCAACACCCTTGTGGCTGCGATGGTGGTGGTTGACAATCAAATCAATGAGCTTTTCATCCTAATCAACAACAAGGTGTTCTCGGTGCCCCTCATTGATTTTGGTGTAATTTTATGCAACACTCCAGGTTATCATATTCTTGCTTACATTCATTGCCCTCCATCTCCCTTTGTGGGCTATCATGCTTTTCCACTTGGCATAACTCATGATCCTACTTGGTACTTTGATACAGGAGCCACTCACCACATGACTAATAACGAGGTTGCTTTTCAAGACATCTCTCCATATCTTGGTAACGCATATGTTCTTGTTGGTAACGAGGCTTCACTTCCTATTGCTCACATCGACTCTCTTCCCTTTCACTTGGGTTCTCATCAATTCCAAATAAATAATGCCTTACATGTTCCCTCTATTAGGAAAAATCTTTTGTTTGTTTCTTAGTTTACTAAGACAATTCGTGGTTGTTACTACTCATCCTTTTAGTCAAGTTATTTCTGACTTTTACACTAGTCCTCTGTTGTTTCAGAGCCGCTATAAGGATCATCTTTATGCCGTGTCTCTGTCTCGTCCGTTTGCCTTCCATTCAGTCTCCTCCTCCTTGGGGCACTCTCGTCTTGGTCTTCCATCCTTCGAAGTTTTGTCTAAATTATCTTTAGGTTCTATGTCTACTTTAAATAGAGTTTTGTAAGCCTGTGCACTTTCTAAGTCTCACAAACTTTGTTTTCATTCAAATAAAATTATTGCTCTGTTTCCGTTTTATTTAATTCATTCCGATGTCTGGAAGTCGTCTATTTCGTCAACCTCCGGTTTTCGTTATTATATCTTATTTTCGGATGATTATAGTCGTCACTCTTGGATTTTTCCTATGCTGCCAAGTGAGCTTTATAGCGTTTGATAGAACCATCTTGGCTAATTAGTTCAAATCTTGGCTAATTATGCGCTGAAATCAGCTCCAGTCAGGTAATTATTCCTGGTCTGCAGATGAATCAGGTGAAATTAAGTGGTTCTCTTTCTTTTGATTGCTGATCATCTGTTCCGCAAACCACCTTGAGAAGCCTTCATCAAGGGCCGCTTTCATCCATTGATGCCGGCAAAGTTCTGTAGCTTCAGGGATGGAATGCCAACTTCGCCGACGATTGTTTTGTTCTGGCCAAAACTCGAGCTCTTCCTTCACAAGCAAAGGAAACATGGCAGCTTTGCTCAATCCCTCGGGACTAAGTTCATCTTGCAGGGTCTTGCTCTTAAAAAAATAGTGCCCCAAACAATCCTGAAACGCACAAATAGGTAAGGTTGAAAGTTAACTGCTGTCATGAAAAAGTAATTCTCTAACCATAAGGCATAAGGTTATCTCAGCAGGCAATAATTATACGAATTCCAGACGCAGTTTTGGACTTGGAAACGGATGGCAATCAATATCACATAATCTTTTTGCTATATCCATATGCAGTAAGAAGAAAATTATTTGGCATAGATCTTATCTCGCACAATGTGTTGCGATACTTACGAGAAATTGATGCATGAAGAACTCCAGAATAATGCTTTCAATGAACAGAAAAGCAGGAAGTATTACACTCAAGACTGCACTTCACCACTCCACTTGGGCAAGAGGAGGAAGGGAATTCAAATATAGCTACCTGAATTTAACAACGGAGCCTCCAATGAAACTTGAGCGAATCAAGAAGCTCGTATTCCATTTACTAACTCAATCTTTTTCTTCCCAATCCTCTAGAAATAAGGAATTTATCTATAACTTCTTTATTTCAGTTTCAATTATATCCATTCCAACTCTTCGCTACTCTTTGTATAACAGCCACAATTGGGTTTCTGACTCTGCATGTATTTATATAATTTCTCAACATTTCACGAAGATCCTTATATTTATCTTTACATGGTCATTGCAATTCTCACAATGAACCTTAAACTTTTGTTAAAATATTTTCTCCTTTTTATGTATGGATTAGAATCCCTTATAAATGTAGGAATTTAAAAACTTGGACTCTGTACCTCTCTTGTTTTGGCTGCATTTTTGCTCACCACCCTATTTATTACCATTGATGAGTTTAAATTTCAAGATTTGTGCATATTCACTTCATAAATTTTGAAATTTAAACTCATCTAATGATGATAAATAGGATGGTGAGCATCACCATCGCTTGAGGTTGATGACCAAAAATATTCCCTGTTGTTTCATATATCAAATCATTCAATCCCGTACTCCTGGACCCCATGGCCCAATGAAATTTTGGTCAACCACCATTCAACCTTAATCCAACGGTAGGCCATCATTTGTATTTCCTCCTCCATGTTGGATTAAGTGCGAACAGTGGATGACCACAACTTTATTGGACCAATGGGGTTTAGGAGAACGGGCCTCTCAAATCATCTTAAAAACCTAAACTGATCTTTGTAAATAATTTCACGCAGTTAATAACTTAAAAGATTCATAAGTCTCTCTCTGTGCAGTAATGGTATACTTCTGATAAGTCTTTGTTGTTTAACATTCATCTAAGTGACAATAATGTTGAATGCGAAATATTGCGCCAAAACTGTGAGGTGGTGGAGAGTCCATGGAGAGTCAACACTATGAGAGAGTCTCCTTAGCATTTCTCATGTTGGATTTGTTATAAGAAACTAGAAAGACTCTAATTTATTAAAGTTTGAACTTGGCTCCTGCATCGAGCACATAATTGTATCCATGATCATTTCTTCATTGATTACCTGGTCGTATTGCAATGTATACCATAACTCCTCACATTTCCTTTCGGGTAATGCTAGGAAGACCAACTATTTAGACCAAATTTTGTCAACCACAAATAGTGTGATTGTTGATGATTAGATTATTATTTAAGCGTTGATTAAGAAAGTGAATGCACATCACAAACTAATAGCAAAAATATCCATGGTATTGGATGACTTTGGGCTGGTTTGAGTTGCTCAGATTTTTCAAAAGCAGCTTTTAGAAGAAAAAAAAATTGGGGCTAAAATTGTGTTCAGTAAATGAAAAAAGTGTCTTTTTTCAAAATCATGGGTGTAAAACAGCAAAAAGCAGAAGCAACTCTACCCATACTTCTTAAAAAGCGCGTGGGTGAACATTACCAATTAATGAAACTTTCCTATTGACAATCCAAACCTCGCCTCTTTTTTTGCTAAAAGCACTTTTACCTCTATTGTTTACCAAACACTTCCTTTTTTGTTCACAGTTGTTTATTCTCACAGCACAACAGAAACAATTTTGAAAGTAAAAAAACACAGCAATCCCAAACTAGCCCTTCACTAGCGTTAACTCAGATGCATAGACTATACACCATCCAACAAACAAATATCCACAAGGAGGAACTTTACCAAGCATATATGAAAAACAAGCAGTTAATTCTCACCATTATATCCCCTTGTACTCCAGCCTCTTCCACAGCTTCACGTATTGCTGCTTCCTGAACGGTTTCATCATTTTCCCATCCACCCTATGATTTAATAAAGAACAGTCACATACACAAATATGACATATATAAATGATTTCTGATTCAAGTATTACCACTGATGTATCAAAAGTGATATCCATGGAAAACCCAGATTTCTGGCTTCAAATACATTAGTAATGCCAGTGACAAAATTTAAAAGAACATAAAAAGTGCACTGCAGCATTAGAAAATTGTTAAACATAAGAAAACTGATTTCGTGCAACACAGCAAATAATAAAATCATGAGCCCAAGGGCTTACGACTGGGAGAAGAACAGAAGGATGCATTTTGGCCATTGTATTTTTACAAGAAGTTGCATAATAAATGGTTATGTAGGTGAGAAAGGGAGATTCTTTTTAGATCATAGTTAGATGGAACTTTTCCAAGATTAAAGGGTAACAGCGGTAGAAGATAAGTCCTTATGGGGCAAAGTAGCTCGAAAAGTAAGATTGCACGCTTGCAGAGGATAGGCAAAAGTCAGATATTCCTTCAAAGAACTCGAAGTGTATGTCAGATAAAATTAAGGTGTACTTACAAGTTATTTCAAGAGCTAACAATAATTTTGAGATAAGCAGTTAAATTTACGTCAAAGTTGTAATACTTCTCCGCTAGCTAGTTTTCACGAAATCTTCCTTTGAAAGAAATTCAATGCCTTTAGTGGCAATACAAAAGTGACCATTAAAACAATTTCAAACCCACTTTCAGAAATTTCTTAAAACACATAAATAACAAACGCACGCACGCACACCCGTATAAATGAGAAAAAAATGACACCTCTTTAGTTATTAATATGTTTATGCAAATCCTACTTACAAAAGAATTAACATGAAAAATGTATTTACAAAAGAAGGAACATGAGAAACATGAAAGGAATAAATTCTACCTTTGGAAACACAAGCCCAGGTCCCCTTGTTGTGCTGATCATTAGTACCTCAACAACCTTCTCACATGCGCCATCACTATTTTCTCCAGTATTTCTATATTTGAAAGGAATACACCTGTACACAACTGAAATTAGATGCAGAAATAAAATAAATACATGCCCTCTCGATGAAACTTGTGATAATATGCTTGGCAGGGTAAAATATTATAAAAAAAAAATGATCAGATACATAAGTTTGCTGATGCACAAATAACTACTTGTTAGCAACAAATGTCAAGATTTTATTATAATAATTAATCCGATGATTTTTTGTTTTGCTTCATATTTAAATTCCAATGAGCCAATAGAACGAAAAAGAACGATATAACTGACCCAATAAGTCAGTTGTTTTATGCTTATTTGAGTTAGGTTAACTTGAGTAGTGTTGAACAAATTATTTACAGACAGTGACAGCAAAAACCTGACAACAAGATGTAAGGTTTATAGAGCATAAATTTTTGTGGAAGATCAGTCACATGAGTGACATTGCTTGCATTGGTATATTTAAAACTAAGGCTGCTGAATTCAAATCATTATTAAAAAAAATAAAAATAAAAAAAATACTTTTCATCCTTATCAAGTCCATATTATATTTTGCATTTTTCAAGCCAATTTTGCACTATTTGTGACTGCCTAACGTACTTGTTTCATACTTGATCTCATTTTTGCAAATAATGTTGTAACTAGATCTCTATTGCGGCATCCCCTGGAACAAGGACGAGGAATGAATATGGATATCTGCAGTAACAATTACGAAAACTACAGAATGGGTTCACCGAGACCCAGCAAGTGAGGATACCGCTACTAAAAGAATGTCACTATAATTGTGGCATGAATTTGGGAGTTTCTCACTTCCTTATATATCTTTAATCAAACAAAAACAAAAAGTCAAGTTGTTCTCTCAATGGAGCCGAATAAAAAGTATATCAAAACGATCCAGTGTCGTTGAATTTGTCAAAAATCTACATGACCCCTGTCCTAAATTCGGAAGAGTGCCCTTTTTCTTCACTTATAAGAACTTGACAACGAAAAATGTAAACGAATAAGCAGATTTCAAGTTTCAGGAAACCTAAAAACAAGCAGCATAACTTCCAGGAGCAGCAGAAAAGCTTCATTTAAGCCACAACCCAGCTTCACACTATCTCTCACCGTTGTGAAATTTGGTTTGATAGGTAACAAATTTGACCAAAATGTAGGGAAAATCAGCAAATTTGACTTATTTCCAAGGCTAGAAAGCATATGCATCTAACAAATTATACAACTCGAATATCATGAAGCTGCCAATTGAAGCATTTAACTTATACAAGTCAATAAAACATAAATGAGAGCATATAAGAGCAACCATGTTCACAAAATTGACAAATATGTCAGGAGATATAAAGAGAAGAGATACATACCCGGCGACGAGGCGGTGGCCGGCCTCGTAGCGCTGCTGGTGGCGGCCGGTGCGAGCCACCAAGTCGGACATTAGCCTTGACAGCCTAAAACACACAGATTCTTTGTGGGTTTTGGTGCCTTTTTGTGTGTATGTGGGCTACGAGTGTACGAGGAGTGTGAATTGAATCGTTGCTTGTTGTGGATTGGGTTGGCTGAGATTCCTACGCAACCTACGACTGCCTTGCTTCTTGTGTTTCTGTATTTTGTTTCCCTGTTTGTATGACTCTTAAGACGGATGCTGTGAGTGTGAGATGTGGCTGCTCTCAACTTTACTCTGTCATGCGCCACGGTCGACCGACACGACCGCGGCTACTGATTGTATTTATGTCGGTTGAGGGAGGACGGTTACGGACACAAGTACGGGAACGGAAATGGGTCGCCTGGATCTTTATCAACTCCTCGCTATTCTTGCATAGTTAAGCATTCGCGACAGAGTGTGAGGTCTGTGAGCTCTTTGTATAATTAACGGGAATCAATTGCATTCGTACGTACCATATCCAATGTGTTTTTAATTACTTCATATAATAAAATTTTCAATTATATATATGAACGCATAAGGTCCCTATTAAGCTTTTTAAGCTCACCGTCGATCTTTCTAAGAATAATGATTGGATTACTAAGAGCCTATCTGAATAACCCTTTTGAGGAACACTTTCGTTGGTAGACACGAATGGAGACTTTGCAATCAGATCTAAATTGCAAGTAAAGCGTATATTACGACAACAACAACAAAGTCTTATCCCACTAAGTGAATGTGGCCTAAGTTTCTGTAGACGTTACTAGTGGGGGAGGGGCTCTAGTGGAAGATGCTTGGACATTCAAACGATGATTGCTTGGTTTCTAGGCTGCCCATCACTTGTCAACCTTTCTTGTGTTTAGTGTGTTCTGTTTACTTGTAGAACACAATTACATTTAGTTAGCTCCTTAATTCAAGGAGCCGTCACTTTTAGGGTTTAGATTAAGCCTGATGTTAAAAGGCATGATTTAGGGAAAAGTCATCGTGTGTGATGATCTCCTATTGCTTTATTTATATCTTATACATCCTGTAATGGTTCCTCATGAATGAATATACAACATAAATTTGAAAATCAACATGGTATCATAGCAAGAAGAATAACCTGTCTCTGCATTACTAGTGTGTATTCATCTTCAGTTCCTTAACAATCGCTGAAGATAATCCATTTGGGTCTGAGGCTAAAAGTTTTTATGTCTATTCTCCAATCAATCTAAGGTGGGTTTTTTTAACTACTTGCCATGGTCAAGGGTTGTTTCACTTGCCCTAGGTGGAAGATCAAAACTAAGCTTCATCAATGGAAACGTTGAAGTCCTTGAGATTACATCTCTAACTTATGAAGCATGGCTCAGCAAAGATCAACTGGTCATGTCTTGGCTCCTTAATTCCGTGGAGAGAAAGCTAGCAAAGATCTAAGAATCATTATCTCAACTGTGGGCTGCAATCAAAGAGATGTATGGCAACCAAAACAATGTTGCTTGTGTTTTTCAACTAAAGAAAGACATTTCAAACTTGGAACCTGATGGGAAACCATTTGTCTAGCTACTTGGAAGCATGAAAGGTATGTGGAATGAACTCGAAGTGTATCAACCCCATAACACTGAAGCTTCAATGCTGCTATAAAGGGTTAAGGAAGACAAGATCTTTCAACTTTGTCTAGCTCAGGTTCTGAATATAAGGATCTTCGCATTCACATTCTCATGAACCCAGAGCTCCCCTATTTTACAAGTGTGTGCAATCAACAACGAGAAGAAGTGAGAAGACAAGTCATGAATATAGGCATTAAGGCAAATGTGTCAAAAGCAAGAGCCTATTTATCCAATGACAAAAAGTACGAGGGTAAGAATCCTCATTTAAAATGTCAACACTGTAATGTTATTGGGCATGTGAATGATTGTTATTAGATCCTTCATCTAGAGTTGAAACCAAAGATCATGAAGTATGATAAGGGTGTCTAAAAGAAGCCACAACACTCAGGATACAAGAATATGATGCTACATCTTCCCACCAGAGGTTTCAAATTCACTGCTGCAATTTACTTCAAATCCAACTACACTCATCAATGAATTTATTGCGTACATTCAAAGGAAAAATAGTGGCAATGGAGCTTCCAACTCAAGTGAAGGAAATTTCAAAGGCACTATTAGGAAAGTATCATCAATGCTCTCCAAACTACTCTAAATTTGAATAAATTGCATATTTCATGAATTCTGGTACCATAGACCACATGACAAATCAATATTCTAAACTTCATAATTTTGAAAAATTCTCCAAACATTCCCATGTGTCTATTGCAAATAGCAAGGGTGCTAAGGTGTTAGGAAAAGGAAAGATTAATCTAGTCTCGAATAAGATTGAGTCAAGCGCCTTATATGTGCCCTCATTTCCTATTCAACTTCTCTCTGTGGGAAAACTCACAAATGCCTAAATTGTTTAGCCATTTTCTCTCCTCACAATGTCATTTTTCAAGATTATGTCACCAAGAAGAAGATTGGTGGAGATTTTCATTTAGATGAACTCTATTACCTAGCAAAGGATTTTCAACTTCCCAAAGGATTCCAAGTCAAGTCAAGTCTAGCACAAGATACCCACTTATGGCATCAAAGACTAGCACATCCATCATAACCAATCTTGTCACGTTTGTTTCCAAATGTTTGTAGGGAGTTTATTCAATTTGACACTTGTCACATGTCTAAGTTTGCTAGACTTCCTTGTTGTTCATCCTCCTTTAGAACTAGCAAAGTGTTTGAACTTTTGCACTCGGACGCATGGGGACCATTTTTTAAATCATTTGATGACATAACTACTTTTGTAATTTTGTTGATGATTTTTCAACAGGTTACTTGGTTATACCTCATGAAGTTTAAGAGTGAAGTCATTCAAGTGTGTAAAGAGTTTCATAACCTTGTTAACAACCCCTTTTGACTCCAAAATAAAACCATTAAGGTTAACGACACTGAATATATATACCATATGTTGAAGTTCCATTCGAGTGCAAATATAAGGATAGTATAGTAGCACAAGTAAGGATGTCGAACCAAAAGGACTGATAAACAACTTAGTAAAACCTTTGACTCTTATGATTTAAAATTGGGGGGGGTTTAAGTAATTTTGAAAAAGAAATAAAGACATAAGAAAAGGGTAAAATTAGAACTATCTAAAAATAAACCTAAAACATGAAATAGGTTAGAAACGTTTTTAGGACATAAATCTATCTTCCCCTAAACATTCATAAATCAATGAGATGATCTTTTAACTTATCCATTTCAAATGCACAACTAAGATGTTCACATATCTAGCATAGCATATAACTAGATTGTATGAATCCTCACTTTCTTTGCATGTGAGATGCATGGCATATACATTAAACTTATATTTGTATGTGCAACCTAGCATGGGATATACTCAGATTTAGCACCTACAAACTCATTAAGAATGAAGAGGATTATGAACATCACATGAACCCTAGAACATGGCATTTATCCTAGATTTTCTTGGAATCAGTTTACATGATTAGTTCTGAACCTAACCACATGTTGCTAATGAATGAAAGAAGATATGGCAGTTATCCTTATCATTCTCAATTGAAAACAAACATAAATAATGTAGCTAAGCTTGAAAATATGTGCTTGAAACAACTAAGACAGAAAACTGATTCTAGCCATTTATAGCTCATTACAATTAGCCTTTAGTATATGAGTAATTGAAAACTAGCTGTTATTAAAATTTGTAATTGAACAGCTTCTTCGAATCACAATTTGTAAAACCATCAGAAAGAAGACTTCCAGGGTTTTCCAACCATATGTGGCCCATTTTCTAATTCGTTCTGAGCATTTTGGGGCAAAGCTTGCAAGTTGGCTATTCTGTAAAGGCATTTTCTGGCGGATCTTGGGCCATTTGTGGGCTATGGTATGGTCTTGGGCGAGTTGGGCTTCAAAATGTCCATTCTGGGCTCTTAAGATATTCAAAATAAGATGATTTCTTCAAGCCCTTTCATCTTGAAATACAATACAAACAACAAAATACCTTGTGATGCATAGAGATTTTAAGTAAAAAAACCTAAGTAAAAGTGGGCGTAAGTGTATAACTTTATGCACTCAACACCATAGCATGATGCAATACTCAAGCACTTATTGAATCATGCATCAAACAAGCTGTGTGGGCACACCACAACAAAGTGGGACAACCGAGAGGTAACATCGTGATTTACTTGAAAAAACTAAAGCCTTGATGATACAAATGAATGTTCCCAAAGATTTTGGTCTCAAGGTGTCTTGACTGCAACCTACCTTAAGGCTACCTAATAAAGTCTTGATTTTTAAGTCACCAACAGAGGTGTTTAAAGGAAGAAAATTTAAGTTGGATCACCTCCTGGTATATAGTTGCCATGTGTTTTCCATGTTTAGTTTCATCACAAGGATAGATTGGACTTAGGGCTAGCAAGTGCATTTTCCTTGGTTATTCATCATTTCAAAAAACTTACAAGGGTTGCAACCTTGAATTGATAAGGTTAGTTGTGTCAAATGATGTAAAGTTTCATCAGTCTGATGCTTCAAATCAGGGGGAGTTTCTCCTTAAATTGTTTCCTTTGCTCAAGAATGCAAACAATTACTTAAAGCATAAGTAATACAAGTTGTTCCCCATGTTGAAAGTGATCATCTATTGAAAGTAACGATGAGGTTTCCAGGAGTGATGAATTGCCTTAAACTCAAAATGACGAACATGATGACATAAAAAATGATATTTCACCACAACAATCAAGCAAAATCCCGCTTATGTTAGACAACCTGCCTCAAGGCTTCAAGATTATGTCACTTACACTACAAAACATCCAATCTCTAAATGCTTTTCATATCAAAATGTCACACCATCTCATGTTGCCTTCCTAAGTACCATGTGTAGTCAAAATGAGTCTCACAACTTCCAAAAAGCTAACTCCCATGATATGTGGAAAGAAACCATGAAGGAAGAGCTCAGGCTCTTGCCAAACACCAAACTTGGAGCATTGTCAAACTTCCAAAAGGAAAGAAGTTAGAAGCAAATGGATCTACAATGTTAAGTTTCGCTTGAATGGATTTATAGAAAGACACAAGGCTTGGTTGGTTGCTCGAGGTTTCACCCAAACGTATGTAATAGACTACTAAGAAACCTTTTTACCAATTGCAAAGATGAACAGTGCATGGTTCATGTGTCAAATGGATGTGAAGAATGCATTTCTGCATGGTAATCTCAAGAGAAGGTTTATATGAAATTGCCACCAAGTCACAAGTCTAATTTGATTTGTAAACTACACAAATCTATCTATGGACTAAAACAATCCCTAAGAGCTTGGTACACTAAGCTAAGCTTAGTCCTTAAAGAGTCTAGTTTCAAAATGAGCAATGTAGATTCATCCATGTTTGTTCGAACATGGATTGTTAGTAAGCTGGTAGTACTCCTTTGTGTGGATGGTCTCATCATCACTGGAGAC